TTTTGGGCTTTCAAAACCATGATGGATATATATTTTTTAACTATAACCATGTAGATAAAATCGATATAGCCATTATATTGTTGAAGTATGTTAACAATAACATGTAGATATAGTGGATATTGCCATTATACGGTGAATGATCTTTTGTGGATATGCGCTTAGTGAGACCAACCACGGACTGACTTTGTGGATATAGCCATTTCATTGGGGATGATCTAGAATGGATAGTCAATTAGTGAGACCATCATCTACAGTTAGTAGGGCTCTAACACGATACGCTATGTTGGTACCCGAGCCCAATCATTTTCTGCACAGGGTTATTTATTACCATGGATACTTCCATTAGGCTATAAGCATCCACTATACGCGTGCTAAATAGTGGATGGTTAATAATGGATAATCGACTATGATTATATCCATTATATGCTATTATGGATATATGCATTGCAGTAAATCCGTATCAGTGACCATTTGCTGTGGCACTTCCGGTGTGGATGGGTACAGAACAGATAATTGCATATGTTCTGAAATAGGAGACGGTCACTTCCAATTTTCTTAGCTATATCCATACTACTATTTTGAGTTAATACCTTGTTTCCAGTGGGAATCAGGGCGTACTGACTCAAGAGTAGTCTCTGAAGCCAGCTCCGGTTAGAATCGGGGGCTGACTGAGTAAAGAGTACGCTCTCAAAACCAATTCCGGTGAGAAACGGGGGCTCAAAGACTCGGCGACGAGGATTTTTACTAATCTCTTTTACTCGATGAAGTTCTCTTTTCATGGAAAAATTCATCGAACTAATCTCTTTTACTCGATGAAGTTCTCTTCTCCGAACTAAAGCTCTTGGATCCATAACGACTCATCGATATATGAAGAAATGTTTACTCACCGGAACTGGGTAAAACGCCGACTGAAACTCTGGAGAATCTATTCCAGGGAAAATTTCCCGTAAAAGAGTCTTCATGTAAAATATTTCGTTATTGGTTTATATTGGTTATCAAAACCGGTTTAGAGTCTTAAAGTTAATGAAGAGGCAAAAAAAGAAATTCACAACACACTTTGTTAGAAAAGTGCCACTTCAAACGAAAGTACTAAAACGTGTAAATACAAACTGAAAAAGTGCCAAAGAGTATAAATTTCTCTTGAATTTTTGAAGTAGGTAATTAATTTTCCACGCGAGCGTAGGCAACACCATGATTTTTTACTTCATTTTTTTTTCTCTCTCTTTGTTTTTTATTGCTTCAGTAATGACTTATCAAAACTTAGCAATTCAAAATATTTTTTCAAAAATATTGTTTTCTCTATCATTCTTATTCCTTAGTTGTTTATGACATCTCATCCGACTGCGCTAAGGACGAATCTTTTATACAGTGATCGCCTTTTGTAATATTTTTCTTTCTATTTAAAGGAGAAATGGCCAATTCCTGCATCAACTCTTTTAATGGATGCTAAATACAATGTGCTAATTCATTTTTTTTGTCTCTCTCTATCTTTGCCTTGCTCGAGCTTTGATCACGCCTCGTGTTGCACTAAATAAGTGCCTTCATAGACCGGACGAGCTACAAGAGCAAGGTAAATATTTTAATTCATACACAGACTCTTAATTATTTGAATTTTCATACACCAACTAACTTTTTTCTGACGAATACTAACTTAGACCCGAACCATGTTAGTCAAAGTCTGTCAAATAGTTAACGGTGATAAATCGAATGCCACGTAAGTATCCCCTTGGAACGAATCGTTTTGTGGTCATTCTTCACTTTTTGAAACCTTTACTCTGTGTGTTGAATATTGAATCTTCAGATATCTGTGTGGAGAACATTTCTTCAAGGATGAGTCCACCCAAAAAACCCCTCAAAACAACAAAAAAAAATGATTTTCTTACTTTGTAATTAATGTGGAGGACCGCTTATATATTGTGATCATTCTTTTACATTTTCAAATCTTCTCTGTGTGTTGAATATTCAAATATCTGCGGAGAAGGTTTTTTTCAAAGATGAGATACATTGGAAAGGATTCAATTACTCTTTATTTACTCTTTCCTCATGTGATTGTATCTTGTCTGTTTTCAGTTCTATATCAAACTTGGTGAAGATATGGGCTGTCGTGATGAATACACTAAAAGTGCAAAATTATTCTTGACCTGCCTATGTTTTTGTTGTATATATTGGTTACTTACAACCTGCCAATTTTTCAGGTGTTTGGGGATATTGCAAAGGGGTTTGACACTTGACTAAGATAAGTGCATGTTAAGCATATTTGTTGTTCATTTGTCATTTACATCCAGATAATATATTTGAATGATTCAATTGGATAATTTATCTGACTGATATTCGTTTTTATTTGAGTTGTTATTTTGAATGATACATCTCAATGAACTTTTGTTTATTTGATCACTTTAATCTGAAGTTACATCTTCGACAAGATATTTTAATAAAAAATAGCTTAAATAATCATGCTTTAATCTAACTTTAAATTTCTAATTTTAGTCTAATTTTAAACATATTAATTTTAATTCTTGATCTAAATAATATTTACAACTAAATAATTTCCAAATTATTAATTTTGAAATCTAAAATTTTCATGAAATATATATTTTGTAGCAAATTTCATTTTATAATTTATTGATTTCTATTTTAATGAATATTAAAATTTAATATATAAAATTTAAATACACTTTCACTACAAAAAAATGTGTTTTGCATCACTTATTTTATATATTTGCTTTAGTTATATATGATGTAAAAAAAAATTTCATTACGAAAATAAATGATTCTGAAAGTGGTGATGCAAATACTTTACATCAATTAATCAAATGTTGCTTTGATTCTTATAAACATGTTAATATGTATCAGTTCTAAAAATGTCATTAAATTTTACATCAGTTTTTATAAATAATTGATACTAAAATTAAATTATCATATGTGATTTTAATTAATTATTATATTATTTTTAATTATTTTTCATTTTATTTTAATTTTTAGTATATTAAATTGCTATATTTAATAATTAAAATAATTTGAATGTCGAAGTAGTGTATTTTGATATAAATATATATTTAATTAATGAAGAATGATGAGTTGGTTTTATAGTGGAGAAATCTTCTCCTCTCATGTTCACTGTACCGATGTGGGACCAACATAGTTTGAACAAATTAAAATTATTTTTATTAATTATTTCTTAAAATTTTATTAAGATCACTTATTAATTGATACAATTTTCTATTTTTTATTTAATTACTATTACATTTTTGTTTTGTATCAATTTTTTTTTTAAATGATGCGATATAAAAAAAGATTAGTATCAATTTTTTAGTGATGTTAGTTTTGTATCATTTCAAAGTGATGCTAACAAAAACAATAAACACATCAATTATTTAATTGATGTAAATACATATTTTCCTAACATTTTTATTAACGTGATGTGAAATAAAATTAGTTATCATAACTGATGTTAAACAATATCATTTGAAATAAATAATTCAAAATAGAATCATTTCATTTTATGATATAAATTAAATGATGCAAAATACCTTTTTGTACTGTTTCTAGCAGTGAAATACAAAATAACACTTTTGACGGAGAAATATGAATAAAATGCAATTTTACTTTACAAAAGGAAAAAAATGATTTTATATTTTTGGCAGAAAACAAAATTTTTGTTTTTGGAAAGAAAATAGAATGTTTCTTTTTGACGCAAAGAGATTTTACGTTGTTTATGGGAAAAAAAAAAAGATATTATGTTTTGGTATGAAAACATGATTTTACCTTTTTGACAAGAAAACGAGATTTTATGTTTATGGCGAAAACATGACTTGAGGATTTTACAGGAAACAAAAAAAGATTTTACGTTTTTAGCGAAAAAATGGTATTTATATTTTTGGTGGAAAAATAAAATTTATGTTCTTGCTTAAAAACGAGATTTTACGCTTTTGGAAGAAAAATGAGATTTTATATTATTTTATGGGAAAAAGAGATTTTAAGTTTTTGACAGAAAATCAAGATTACGTTTTTGGAGGAAAAATGAGATTTTACGTTCTTACGGAAAAGCATAATTTTATATTATTGTTTGAAAATGCAGTTTTATGTTTTTGATGGGAAAACGAGATTTAACGTTTTTAGCGAAAACCAGAATTTACGTTTTTGGAGGCAAAATGAGATTTTACGTTCTTACAGAAATCAAAATTTTACGTTTTTGGCGAGAACATGATTTATGAATTCGGCAAAATTTTATTTTTATATAAATTTTGCAGGAAACATAATTCTATGTAAACAAAAATTATTATTATTATTTATTATTTATTATTTGTTTGTATTATTTATTATTTGTTAGTTCTTGTTAAGAGTATTTTAATTATTTGATTTTTTGACTGAATCATCTCTATAGATACTTCAAACAGATGAGTTTTAATTTTTTTCCTAATTTTATAAGTCATTCAAATGCTCTATCTAGATAATCCATTGAGATAAGTCAATTAATGCAATTAAACCAACATCACTTTACAGCTACATTTGGATGGATCATCTTGATAACAATTACAATTGTGCATATATATACTTGAAGATTCATTTGTTCCCCAGAACTAGCTGGTATATATAATATAATTATATAAATATACAGTCAAAGTGGAGAACATGCTCATTTAATTTCTCAAGTATTTGATTTATTCTTCAACTATGGTGTACGCAAATCAAATCCTCAAGATGTATTGACTTGCAAAACTAGGCCATATGTTTAGCTTTCATATGTGTATATAATAACCATATCTTTGACTAGTGTCAATTTTTTCTAATTTTCCTAAAGATAATTAAGACCATATCTTTTTTTTTGTCAAAGCCAGGACCATATCTTTCAGGAAAAAATTTAAAGTTACCAATCAAGCACAACTAATTAATTTCATATATATATATATATATATATATATATATATATATATATAAACTTCTTAAAGAACATAAATATAAATTTTATACACAAAACAAACAAAAAAAACTTAAGAAAAATGAATATGAAGAAATGCATTGTATTGGTGATGGTGGTGACAATAGTTATCGTGACAGGGGTAAGAGAAGTAGAAGGACTTTCATGCATGGACAAGTGCTTGTTTAAGTGTGGATTCTTCTTTCAACATCCAGTATCTTGTGAAGACAAATGTGAGCGTGAATGCCATGAATCACCTAGTCTTCTATCTCAATCATCCCAGTAATAATCTCTTAACTTATTTGATTGAGTTTGATTGGGTGTTTTTTTTGTGTTTAAATTGTTAAAGTGTTATGGTCATTTTCTTAGAGGTTTTTCTATCAAACATTTTTGAAAACTCAACATAAACGCATAATATCATTTATGTATTCTTTTATTTGAAGCTCCTTGATAAATAAAAATATCATGTTCTGAAAAAAAAATTTCAGCAAGTAAATACAAATACAAACTTGAATATTTTCATTTGAAACAATCATATTCAAATGCAAATATTATATTATGCTGTGTATCTAGAGAAATTGACATGGTTCATATGGGAAATTTGCAGGATGGAGACTATAGGAATGAGAAACATAAAAGGATAGATACGTCAACAAAATAGCTGATATATTTATAAGCTCGTTAAAGTTATCATATCAATTAAAAATGTTTTTTTGGCAAAAATAAACTCTTCCATATGATAAGTTTTTGCAACTACATACAGTATGTGACGTCTAAAAATACACATTAGTCCATCATTCTCCAGTCAAACCATAGCATAACTTTCATATATTTAATGAATACATAGCATGTATTTTTTTAAAAATTTCATAACGACTTAGTTTTGAAAACAGATTTAATCTAACAATTTATAAAATGAGAGATTTGAACTCACTATCATAAAAGATTATGCCGATAGTTGTTTTGATAAAGTACTAAACCAAATCAATAATATTAATTAAAATCACTACAACTGCTATTACGACCATCACCGCCGTCACTTATTAAACCAAACAATAGATATACACCCAAAAAAATCCTTGCAACAACAGTCTAGATCCAGGTTTACAATTAATGTATATGGTCACCACCTTAAAACTATAAGAAACAAAATATTATGGTAAAATTCCGGTCGTTTTAATTGAAATCACAAAACGAGGTGGATACATTGGATTCGAGTTCTCAAGAATTTGATAAAGAGTTATAAATTTTGCATATGATACTCAAAATCAAAATCGATCAGTAATGAACTTTAAGCTTATTTTATTTTTGGATAAAGTTACAGTTAAAGAAGAAAATAGTGAGAGAGAAATTGAGATTATATTACCCACAATAAGTTATGTAGCTCGTTAGTGTTCTTGAGGTCTGTGTCATTTTGAAATCTATACATTGAAAGCTATGAGAGTTATATTGCAGTTTGATATGTTTTAGAATTAATCATAACAACTAAATTTCCTTAATTTAACAACTTAATTTCCTGAATTCACCAAAATTTACCGAAATCATTTAAAATTTAGTAAAGCTCGAATCATACACCTCTTTAAACATGTCTCTTTTTTTTTGTCCGCCATTTATCTTATTAAACATAGAAAGACTTACAAAGTTTATGATACAAGACATTAAGAAAGCCAAGTTACAACACATGGAAGCAGTTTTGTTCTTGCCTGCTTTGCCATACTATCAACTATTCCATCAGCCGTTCGCTTGATTAGTCTGAATTTATACGAGGCTTTAGCAAGATTTAAGATATCCTCCACATGACCTTGTATAGATGAAGGCACAATGAGCATCTGGGATTTTCTCTTTACACCAAATTCAAGTATGTTGTAGATGATTTCTGAATCTCCACAAAGGGTTATATTATCATACCTTAGTTTCTTTAATTGAATGATTTCCTCTTTTAAAGCTAATGCCTCAGCTTCTAGTGGAGTATCAGTGGCTTCAATTGAGGATGCACCTTTTATCAGTTGCCTTCCTTGTGAGTAAAATAGGGACCATCCAATGCCAGCCTTCTCTTTTTCATTATTCCAAGAAGCATCTACACAACAGAAATGAGAAGACATTTGTGTTATAACTTCCCCAAATGTTGCTGGTGTGAACGTATTTGGTTTCTCCAATTGGTTCCCAGGTCATTATGTGCTTCTTGCCATAACCGTAAATCCATAATGATTTGATGAATAATATCAGGTATGTGCCATCGTTTGTTATTAAAAATCAAATCATTTCTACCTTTCCATATACACCATCCCAGGAAAGGAAACAAATTATCCTTGCCATTTGGTGTGGACTTGATAGAAAGCAAGATTTGAAGATAGTCTAAAAAATTGTTTTCGGAATTGAACTCACCTATTAATAAATCCACCGGAGATAGGTCCCAAATCTCTCTGGCAATTCGACATTGAAAAAGCATATAGGTGACTGTTTCAGGTCTTTCTCCACAAAGCATACAATCTGACATTACTCTCAGTCGTCTTTTTTCGAAGGCTTCTGCAACAGGAAGAGCATTATTTACAGCTTTCCACCAGAAGTGTTTTAATATTTGGAGAAGTACCGAGATTCCAAATGATTTACTAACGTCATTTTTCCTGATGGTAGTTTGATCAAGTGGTGATATATATTTAGTGAGTTCATGACAATCTGATTTCACAGTGTACTGGCCGTTCTTTGTGAAAATCCAAGTTGGAGTATCTGGAGCCTTGGTAATCTTTGGTCTTATTTTACGTATAAGATGAACGTCATCCGCATGTATTAGATTTTGCAATCTTTCTTCGTTCCATGCAGAAGTGTGCTTCTCCATCAGACCTGAAACTTGGTGAATGCTTCTCCAAGCATGACTGGGTCTGCGTCCGATAGGAACTTCCATCAGAGAATTCTTTCTGAAATATCTAGCTGTAAAGACCTGCGCTAGTAGAGAAGTTGGCTCCCTCATAATTCTCCAGCTTTGTTTGGCTAGAAGGACAACATTAAACTTGTGTAAGCCCCATAAACCGAGTTCTCCATTCTTTTTAAGTTGGGGTTAGCTTTTCCCATGCCAACCAATGGATTTTGTGCTTCTCTTTAAACATGTCTTAAATAGGTCAAATAAAAATTTATTTACAAAATAAAACCACAGTATTTCTCACCCAAAAAAAAACCGTAATATAATGAAAAACTTGCGAGAGAGAGGACGGCGATTCTTTTTACGATTGCGACTTTTCTTTGTCACTATTCATGTTTCTACTCGGAAAGCACTTTCCAGCGGTTACCGATGGTTTTCTCAGGATGGAGTAACAGATTGACTGTCTTGGATTCCTTAACGGTTCCTCTATCATCTCTATATATATCATGTATTTATCTTCTGGTCATCTTGCAAAGATCAAAGAGAAATAATCCTTTTCCATTGTTCATTTTGATCATGCTAGATAAAATCAGAAAACAATTACAAGATATCTTTCTAGGAATAGATGACAAAATCATCAATTTTCCCCTAGTTATCTATGCTGAAGCAGCAGACGAGACGTAATTTAGCTTTATCGGCAAAACAGTGAATTCCCAAAAGCACAAACTCCCTGCTATTGGCACGACTTTGGGGAGTTAGAGATGAAGTCATAGAGCGAATTCTTCAAAACCAAAAAATCTAATTCATCTTTCAATCTGAAGGTTCGATGCAATCTGTTCTTCGTCAAGACCCCTGGTCCTTTAACGAGTGGATGTGTACCTCACAGAAGTGGACTCCTCTCCACACAGATGATGATCTCAAACACATCCACTTCTGGATCCAAATAATTAAGACGCATCCCTCTTCAGTTCCTGACACACCGTATGGTATCGCACATCGGAAATTCAATGGGCCATTTCCTCAAGACAGATTTCCAAGGTGATGATGCTCTACAAGTTGAGTATATGCGAGTCTGCCTCTTGTGAACATCAAAACTCCACTCCAATTCCGGCGACTCTTTCAATTTGGCGATGAGACAAGCACCCTCAAGTTTTGTTATGAGAAACTTAGAGGGTTGTGCTCTGTGTGTGGCATGATGAACCATGAAGCCGTGGAATGCCCTCCAAACAACGTCGGTCCTGTCGATGCACCTGATGATGATGATAATGACCAACATGATGACCATCCTCTAGGATTCAGTCCTCGGAGAGAAAACCCTGATCTACCGCCAAACCAAGAGAAGAACAGTACTGAAGAACCTCCGGAGGAAACCCTGATCCTCATGAACCATCTGATACTGCATCTAAGAAGAGGAAAACAGAATCTTCTCCAGAACCTGCATCAATCCTCTACTACGACATGATACAAGGCTTTTTTTTTTGAATTTTTGGAAGAACACTTCTCCAAGAGAAAGCGTACATAGGCAGAAGTCAGAGAAATGAGAAACTGCTTTGGTAAGCCATCCGAGGAAGCAAGTTCTTCCCAATCTGCTGATGTTGGACATCAGCAAACACATGACCAAAACGGCATGATGGGCTAGAAGCCAACAGATCCGGGATGAATACAACATTTTGGAACTGCCAAGGCTTGACGAGATCTCTGGTTGTTCGATGCCTTAAAGAGATTAAGTAGAATTCCCCAGATCTACTCTTACTTATCGAGATCAAAATCTACACGACCTTGTTCGAGATGTTGCAGCACAAGTAGATTTCGATTATGTCAAATGTGTTTCTCCCTTGGGTAATGGTGGTGGTATTGCTTTGTTATTAAACAAGTATGTTGATGTTAATTTTGTTTTTGTTGATGAATGTATGCTCGATTATGAATAAATAATAAAAAATATTCCTTATACTTCTTGTTTGTTTATGGGCACCCAATTCTTAGCCTAAGGCACATTTTATGGGAGAGGCTTCAGAGAATCACTATAACGCGTGTTGGACCTTGACTAATGTGTGGGGACTTTAATGAAATCTTGAATGTAAATGAGAAACAGGAGGGTCGTGAGAGAAAGAACTGGACATTTACAAACTTTCAAAATATGGTTAATACCTGCAAAGTTCAAGATCTTCCATACTTAAGGTAATACCTCTCAGAGGTAATACCTTTCAAAATATAGCTCAGAGGTTCAAACTTAGGTTTCTTTCAATAAAAGAACGTATACGCAGTTGAAAAAAACGCAATATCTGAATGAAAAAAAAATGTCAAACCATCTCAATTCTAAAAAAAGAATCAACTCTCTTAACAAGAATACCGATCAAGCTTCTACAGATCCTGATACTCCCATAGAAGCCATATATGCACTTCAAAAAGAACTACTCCAAGCCTACAAAGATGCGGAAACTTATTGGAAGCACAAAAGCAGGAAATGGTTAAAAGAAGGAGATTAAAACACTCGGTTTTTCCATGCTTCAACAAGAAACCAAAACACAACAAAGTTACATCAATCAAAGGCCTTAATGGAGAGGATATCAGCGACAAAAAGGACATTTCTCTAGAAGAGAACGATACTTCACAAATCTCCTTTTGAAGTCACATAATGAGTCCTCTATGCACATTCTTCATCGTATCATATCCATTGTTACAGCAGACATGAATGCATCCCTCATACGCCCGATTTCTTCTGAGAAAGTAAAAAGAGCCATCTTCCCTATTGGTGCCATAAAACACCTAGGTCTGGATGGCTTTACA